ACGAAAATCAAAGGACGATAACTGTGTTCCCGGACCATATGTTACATCCTACATTTGTAATTGTACAATTGTAGCACTGTCATGACTATTAAAGAACCACCATATCTGATTCTGACAATTTGAAGAGAGAGACCAACAATTAAGGATCATAATCAGCACTAAATAGTAGCTACATTATATATAATCACTATCAAAAAAACTTTACTTGTCAGCAAAATGTAGAATATAATGAAAATAAGAAGAATTTGACCTTACCTGACTTCACATTTGTTTTCCACCGCTTCCTTTATCCGGTGGTGATGATACACAGTGGTCATATAATGCACTACATTTCCTCTTAATGTTTTAATAGCCAAATACTATGAGTGCTTGGATTTCCTTTATTTTGTTGAAAAGACCTCTTTATCTCTTTGGCCTTTTCTAATGGGAGATAACTCAAAATATTTTTTTTACTCTTGTGGAAATCTTAATTATTTCATAATTTCCATAATTTTCCAGTATTATTAAACACCAGAACAAATGTGTGCATTCCTTCATTTAGACATTTGTTCCATTCTTATTGACATGAGCCTTGTACAAAGTGTTTAAAAATAGTGAAGGTAAAAATAATAGTTATGAATCAACTTTTATTTATTGACACTGATATTTGATATCCCATCCAGTATTCCAGTTTCACTATTTGAAATCATTTTAAAATATTTTCCTAATTTTATTAACTTTTTAGAATATTTTCTAACATTTTTCACTGTATCGCTAGATTTTTTTCTATATCCACAGTATAATTCTGTTTACTTTCCCATGATATACATCCCAATTAAACATGTGCTGAATCTTTATATTAGATCCAGAAATTTGTGATTTTTGATAATTTCCAATATCACATTCAAAATAGTTCCAACTTTACACATTTTTTGGAATATTTTTCTTTTATTTTGCACTATATCACTTGATTTTACTAGATCCACAGTATTCAGTTTTTATTGCATTTTCCATGAAATATGTCCCAATTAAACAATATAAGATCCAGAATCTTACAATGATTATTTCCAATATCACATTCAAAATTGTTATTCTCACATTATGAATTTTTTAGAATATTTTACTTTTATTTTTCACTTTATCACTAGATTCGACTATATCCACTGTATTCACATTTTACTTCATTTTCTAATATACATCGCATTTAAACAGGTGAATCATCTTCATATTAGGTCCAGAATTTTTTAATGATTATTTTCAAAATCACATTTAAATTTTAAGCCACAGAAACATGGATAAACTTATTTCTTCTACTTGCATTCCAGTTTTGAATTTTTTTACCTTTTAGATTAACTAAATTCCATCTTTTTCATGTATAAGCCACACAAAACATTTTGAATGAATTATTTACTCCTTGATACATTCATGACAATCCATTCTAAAAAAAACAAGTCACATTTTAAGAAGCAAAATTATATGGCATCTTAAGAAGTGAATTCAAATAAAATAAATCCCAATATATTATGCACATTGATTCCAAAAGATTTCAAACACTTTGAATAATATTCCAAATGAAAATTTTGAACGGATATTTGAAGAAATGCATAACATATCCATCTGAAATCTGAAACTGAAAACACCTGAATAGCTACTTCTTGTTTCACTGACAACTGGACAATACCATGTATAAGGGTTGAAAATGTTAAGATTCATATATTATGTAAAAACAGTTTTCATTTTCATACATGTTAACATGCAGTTAAGAAAATCTCTTACTGATTTAGATTTTTTGGTCAAAATTAAATTAATCATTTATATTGGGGATTTAAAACAATGAAAACCAATAATATGTTCTTCCCTATCAATTTTATAATAGAATAACCCTAGGTGAAGAAAAACTTCAGGAAAAAAGCATGCTGCAAGGTTGAGTTAGGTGAATAAGAAAAAAACAGTACAGGTAGCATCAAGGTAGACTCAACTCTAACAATACCAACTGGTCAATTTAAATGTCCCAATTGTATTGTCAATTGAACAATAGGTAAAGGTAAATAGTCAAGTCGCAGTAAACTATTTTAAGTTAGATAACTGTACACATATATGAATAATTCAAATAACCTGGAATATGAGGTCCAACCAAATTTTTAAATTTTAAAGCTGTTGATAGAATTTTTCAAAAATTATGTCTTAAAAGGTTTCACTTGAAAAATAAAAAAAGGGGAGATAATAAAATTAGGCCAATTAAAATAAATTGATAGATTTTCATCCCCGCCCGCCCCGTTTTTTTTGTTTTTTTAAAGATTTACGATTTCCGTATTTTGTTCATTTCCGTTACCGGTAACCGCTGATAATTTTGTTTCATTGAAAACTTCCTGTTTCAAATTTCAGTTTTCGTATTTCTCCTCGAGTAATATATCCAAAATGATTAATTCGAAATATTCTGCTGCTCAATGATGACAACATTATCTTCTGAGAATATAGATTGATTACTAGAAGGGCATGAAATATTCGGGTTACGAGTAATAGGCTGTGTCCCAAGAACGCTAATCGTGGTATGTCTCAAATTTCAATATTAGAAAACTGTAGATTTTTTTATTTATACAATGACTTTGTGTTAGGGAATTTGGACTGTGAATAATATCCAAAGCGCAAGAATCGTGGAACACATTGGTACGAAAACATGACTGGAATAAATTAATTGACACAAGCACGAACTTGTGCGGTTTATGACCGTATATTTTAAGCGGTAGGTCTTTTCACCACCGAACACCACCGAACACCCCAAAAATCGAACAGAAAAGGAGAGTCTATAACACTACCACTCTGCAAACCACCACTGGACACCTCAAATAATTTTTTTTCTTCATTTTTTTTCTTCTTTTATAAAATAGTTGTATCAATAACAAGAAAAGAGACATGAACAAATGTTAAATATTTCGGGTAACTAATATCCTTCATCAGTAATTGATGTCAAATGATTCTTATACACAAACAATGTAATCCGGAAAAATAGTGATGAATCCGGAGATGTTTTTCTCTTCTTTATATGGATTATATTGATAATCGACTTTAACAGAAAAATGACGGTACCTCGAAAGACCGAATAACACTGTTATTATCCAAATAACACTTGTAATGACCGAATAACACTTGAAATTTTAATATTAGCACATATTGGTGACTTTTAAACATTGATTTTTAAATAATATTATATTATGTGTGTATTTTATAACTTAAAAATGATTTACAGAAAGCAGGTATGTTCATAAAGGTTATTTTAAATATAGTGTGTACATCTAACATGGCGACCAAGGAAATCACAATGGTCGCCATGTTGGATGTACACACTAAATTTAAAACGATCTTTATGAACTTACCTGCTTTCTGTTAATCATTTTTAAGTTATAAAATACACACATAATATAATATTATTTAATAATCAATGTTTAAAAGTCACCAATATGTGCTAATATTAAAATTTCAAGTGTTATTCGGTCATTACAAGTGTTATTTGGATAATAACGGTGTTATTCGGTCATTCTTGTTACACGAAAAATGATGCACATAAACATCTAAAAAATTAGACGTAATTTAATTGATTTTACTGTTTTCTTGTATAAAATCACTGATTTTCTCAGTGGTTGATGGTTTTTTTGGGTGTTCGGTGGTGAAAAGACCCACCCTATTTTGAGTACAAAGAGTCTTAGAATAACACAAGGATGTTGTTTTTGTTGACAAACAGCAAACACCCTTTGTCCCCAGCCCCTTAATAGAGTCATTAAACAACTTTTTAGCTCACCAGGGCCCAAAGGGCCCCATGTGAGCTTATGCCATCACTTGGCGTCCGTCGTCGTCTGTTGTCATCTGTCGTCGTAAACTATTTAAAAAATCTTCTCCTCTGATACTACTGGGCCAAATACCTTCAAACTTTAACTAAATGTTCATTGGGTATCTAGTTTATAAATTGTATCCCAAGTTTTGATCCATCGACAAACATGGCCGCCATGGCTAAAAATAGAACAAAGGGGTCAAATGCAGTTTTTGGCTTATATCTCAAAAACTAAAGCTTTAAGAGCAAATCTGACATGGGGGTAAAATTGTTCAATTGGTCAAGATCTATCAGCTCTGAAATTTTCAGATGAATCGAACAACCCATTGTTGGGTTGCTGCCACCGAATTGGTAGTTTTAACAAAATTCTGCAGTTTTTTGTTATTATTTTGAATATTATTATAGATATATATAAACTGTAAGCAGCAATAATGTTCAGCAAAGTAAGATCTACAAAAAAGTTAATATGACCATAATTGTCAATTGACCCCTTAAGGAGTTATTGCCCTTTAAAGACAATTTTACACAATTTGTTCATCAAGTTTGCTAACATTTAAAAATCTTCTCCTCTGAAATACAGGTGAGCGATTCAGCTCTTGAGAGCCTCTTGTTTGGTTCAGATCATGTTTTAAATTGTAATTATATTGGCACCTTGCATAAGAATCTTCAAAGCATCAACCCTCATGACCCTAGTATTTTCAACACAGTTTGAGTTTTCATTTCACTCTGTACTCGTAATATTTGTATTGCATACCAATGCATATGCTTTATTTTATGAGCACTACAAATCATAGCTTAAAAGAAAAATGAATTTCATACAGGAAATTATTTATAGCTCAATATGCATGATTTGTCTAAGGTACATGTAGTACAACAGGGTTCACTATTATTAAGGTCACTAAGACCTACATTTTCTGCCTGAGCGATATGGTTAGTTTTTATCTGCAGTTTCATATATAGATAGACACCCTGTGTCTCAAAGACATATTTTTTAGTTCAAAAATAGTTCATATATCAAACCTGATTGTTAATAGATATCTTGCTATATGTTACATTATGTTGGTTTTTTTTTTGCTTCCGCATTAAGGCGTCTGGATTTAGTTGTACCAATTTGCCTACTTTTGTTCATACATCCAGAAATTTTCCTTCACATATTTCTCAGCTTCTAAATATGGGAATGATTTGTAATTTCATAATGATGAGAGGCAAGTTGTAAGTTGTTTTCAAATGAAACCAAATACCCTCTTCCTGTTTTAGGGTTGACAATCGTTTCAGATCTACAGAAAGTGATGATTCCTTTCCGTAGAAACAGAACCTATATTTTGTACATATTTTTAGTAATTGTTGGATTTAATTATGAGATTTAATCTATGCGACCACAAAAGTTGGACGAGTATAATGTAATGATGCTGTAATCAGCATTGTCTGTAGACACTTCAATTATGTGTGATCATTTTATGTTTCTACAAAATGGCAATTATGACGGTGATTAACAAACATTTGTTTAATTACAGGTCGCAACTCCCACATAACACAGTCTGAGAGATAAGCAGTGGCAATGTTATGTCAGACCAAAAATACCTGTTTCTCCCTAAGCATCAGAGGTGAATGGCATAACTGGTCGAAATGGTAGAATGCATCACAATGGAAAATTGTTGAAACATCTGACATATCTAGTGCTTTAGATGCATTTATTGATTTTCTCTCGAAAATTGGAAGTGGAATATGTCTGTATGGACACAAATTCACACAATATCAAATCTTTTGATTGCCATGTTCTGTTTAATGCTTTAGAAGCAGTTGGAAAAATTGAGAAGATTAATACTTTTGTTTCTGGTTTTCTTGATACCAAATTTTTATTTTGTTCACACAACCTGGTTTATCGTCGTATTCTCAACAATTTTTTGTTACATATTTCCTACAGCAAGATTTTTCTGCACATAATGCCATGGAGGATGTCAGCATTTTACAAAAAACTTTTTTTTCACATGAAATCAAAGAAGAAAGTAAGAAAAAAGCTTTTTTTTCCTTAGCTAATGCACTTTTTTCCCATGAAAGTTTAAGTGTCAATCTGCCTAAAAATCAGGCAGTGGTGAAAACATGACAAACAAAAACCCACTCAAGTTGACATTAATTTATATTCAAAATGTATAATGGTGCACTAATATAACATTCGTTTCCTTTTCCTGTTCTGGTAATTCAAGGTATAATTTAGTTGAAATGCACTAGAAATTAACTATTAAGGGGAGCTAACTCCTTAATTTGCTATCATTCTAACCAAAATTTATCAAGAGATTTCTCGAATTACCAGACACACAGAAACGAAAGACCTACCATTTCTAACTCAGGATGAGGGTAACTTCAAAATAGGATGGTTAGGTCGGTGGGTTTTTTTCGACCATGTTTTGATTTTTTTCAAAATTGCCTGATTCTTACAAAGACTGGCACTTAAAAAAGTTGCAGCAACTAATTTGCCATCACTCCAAAGTCTTTTGAAGATTTGTAAAGGAAAAACTATTATCAAAGACAATGTGTAAAAAAATGGCAGCAAAAAAACCAGAACAGCATCCTAAACAACAACAACAGCATATTGAACCACAACAAGCATAACAGCAATTTGAACAAAGAAAGACAGCAAGGAAAAGACTGTATGAAGAAGCATTTAAACAGAGGTAAAAAATCATTTAAAATTAACATCTCTTTAGGTGTAAAACCATTAATTCATAGCCCTTTGCTTTCTATGTTAAATTCTGCAATTTTGAGTATTAATGGCTACTTTGTTTTAAGTTTAAATAAAGTAGCAGTCATTTCATGTCAAAACTATACCTTATCCTGACTTGTGCTGAAAAATTCAACATACCTTTAATTAACGTGTGGAATAAGTGGTTCTATACCTTTATAACAAGAAAGAGACAAGGACTTAATGTAGAAATATCTGAAGGATGTACTAAGGAGAAATTCAAGGATTTTAAATTGATAAGTCGAAAGAGCATTAATTACAGAATAAAATAAGCTGAACATATTGATAGGTTATGTAGCTCCTTTTCAAGATATTTGAGTTTTAAAAAATGGCGGAAAAGGCTGACTCAGACTTTTACCTTATATTTGCCTTGGTATTATTTGGGTTTAAAAATCGTTAGAAAAAGTCTACATACAATCTGCTTAAATTTTAAGAAATGACCTTATATGAGCTATTGACAAAAAATGATTGAAGTCTTATATGAAAAGAAAAATGGTTGTTATGGGGCAAAATACTTTACCCTGTATCATAGGAAAAAAAACCAAGAAGTCTGAAAATCTGATAAAAATTACAAAACATCACCTAAGTACATCCCTAAAAGTCTCGATTATTTGATAGTATCTAGTGTTGTCAGGTAAGAGTTATTTTATCATGTTTATTGCTCGGTTACTTGCAATTACAAATTAAGTTGTTTTTTGGCCTGTGCTTAAATAAATTATTTTTACAGTGTATTGAGCTATCAGTCAATGGTCAATGTAATAACTGTGTGAATGTTGGGATCTGAATTAAATTTAAATTTTACTTTGTAGGAAACCAACCACTAAAGCAACATGCATCCCTTCCAGGACGCTACCTAACAGGTAACATATCTCTATATCACTAGAAACTATAAAGGGTTATACCACAATTACGCAATATACATTATAAGGAAGGCAATTAGTTCTTTAGGAAAAGAAAAAGATTAGCAAAAATTTAAATGAAAGAGTCAATGTGCATTTAAATTAAGTATACTTAAGTATATTACCATAATCATATAATATAAGGTTCAACAATTCTTGTGTAAAAATACTTTTCAGAAACTATAGACACAATTGAAAATTAATTTAATCATAGAGGTCTTAAATGTTTCATGAGTTTGAAAAATTTGAAAACAAAATATTACTTGAACCTGTTGAATGAGTCTATGTTTAAGAGAAAATGAATTTATGGAATCAAAAGTTGCAACAAATGACTTCTGCAAGTCGATAAGTTGCCAATATTTACTCTCTGCATATGTATAACTTGAAATAATATAACAACAGTCAAGCACGCATAAAAAAAGAGACAACAGCATAAACATTTAATCACACAAAAAGAAAAACTGAGATGTTGCCAAAAATTATCCTGATTAAAACATTACATATACTTTTTAATTATTTAAAGAGGTACTTCTTGTGGCAGGCCACATTGAGGAAGGGGTAAAGGCATTAGAGGTAGAAGAGGAAAAGGACGAGGTGGTAGAAAGAAGGGCACTTAGTAAGCACATATCTTCTTATATCTATATAATACATTCTGACACTGAAACTTGTCTAAAACAATTTAAATTACTTGTAACTGTTATCACAAATGAATTAAAGATGTATTTTTTTGGTCTTTAACATTAGAAATTAAATCTACAAATTTTGTTAGGAACCTTTTATGAGCTGGTTATTTGAAGTCTTGTATGCCAAAAAATGGGTAATATGGGGCTAAGTCCAAACATCTGACAAATAATTACAAAACCTTAACTTAATTACATCCTTAAGACATCTCACCGGAATTGTTTATGTTGTATTATGTTTTCATCAATTCATTTAAAATGACCGAAATAATACAATTTCTTATTTTTTGACAGCATCCAAAGTAGCAGTACTGAGAGTAGTGAAAGTGAGAATGATAAGATCAATATAAGCAGTCATGACAGTGACCAGAGTCCTGTTATAAACAAGTATGTAGCAGTATTTGGCTTCTGTTTTATGAGATATGTTTTCATTTGTTTTAAAATGAAATCTTGAATACCCCATTTCAATGCATTTATATATGCAAGTTTCAGTGGTACTGCAACAACTATTTTCGACATATATATATGATTGTATAATAAAAACTATAACACAATTTTCCATACATTTCGGCCATTACGGCCTTCGTCATTTTATATATATATAAAAATCTTTTTATCTTTAATATGTCGAATTGGAAAGTTTACATGTTGTGTAAGAGTTCTTATTTGTCACAAGTTATCAATGTATTTTTTCTCTTGTCAGAGTTGATAGACAAAAGGATAGGAAAGCAAAAGATCAAGAGAAAGTAGAGAAAGAAAAAGATCAAGAGAAGGTAGAGCAAGAAAACGATCAAGCCCAGGAGGAAGAGAAAGAGAAGGTAGAGAAAGAAAAAGATCAAGAGAAGGAAGAGAAAGAAAAAGACCAAGAGGACGTAGAAAAAGATGTTACTCAAGAGAAAGAAGAAACACATTACGAAGAAGTTCTGCAAGACGACAGGTTTGTGACAAATATGAAGAAAAGAAACAATGATCAAAGAGATAACACTATCAGTAAAGTGAACTTGTAATTTATTTAAATTGATTAGTGTCAGACTTTAAGCATCGCACAAGTTGGCATTCAGAGGTGGGTGGGGTTAAGATGGTAAACTGTGGTTCATCTTTTATCAATAGTACCACTTAAGGAAGTTCGCTACTCAGTTTCAAAATAACAAGCTTTTCATAACACTAGTGTATATTGAAAGGGGATAAATAAAGGATTTTTCGAGATATTAGCCATTGAAATTTTGGCGGGAAAATGTTTTCTCTTGACTTTTCATAGCTTTATCATTGACAAGTTAAAGCTCTCAAAAACTATTAAAAAATAACAAAGATTTTGTAAGACTTTTACAGATGGCTTATAATTATACATATAAAAGATTTATATAAAGAAAAATGGGGGTCAATGGGCAAAAAAATTTAATGCATACGAATGGATAAAACCAGAGGATTCCGAAAATCTGACAAAAGTTCCAAATTATGACAAGTGAACATCCTTAAGTTGACGCTAGGGGTTGTCTTGACCTCGTTGTAAAGTATGAATGTTTCGTTCATTGTGGAAGACTCTACAACTACTGTCAATGAGGAACAGGAATTAAATCCCTGTTTTTTGATAATTTCTATTTTCCATGTATTTTATGTGCTTTTGTCACACGTACATTTACCTCATATCATCCCTTTTTTTTTTTATCTTTTAACAGTAAAGTGAAAACGATATTGGAACAATGTACAAGAAAAAAGTAAAATAAGAAATATACTGAACTCAAAGGAAAGTCCTTATTCAAATGGCAAAATAGAATGATCCAACACATCAATGTATGGAAAGCAACTGACATATTCCTGACTTGGTACAGACATTTTCTTACTCATAAGAGTGGATTAAACCTAGCCAAATCTCTCACTTGACAACAGTCTAGTAGCATGCCATTATATTGACAAAGTGTGATCAAAACAAACACAATATAAGTAAAAATGGCAATACAACCAAAATTGGACTTAACAGTAAGGATTAGAAATATACAGACAACTAAAAAAACACTGTTACAGGTACAATGTGGAATTTATTTTTACATCACATTCTCAATTTACAATTAGTGATAAGACAAAATACCATTAATTTGTCTCAACATAAATAATAAACTTGAAAAAATTGTTTGACTTTATTTTTATTTTTAGCTTTTTGTATGCTGCTACTCTAACAGAAGAATTGGGATATCCCATTGTCCAGGATCTTTTGCAGCTGCAGGTAATATATCTACTAAAATTTTCGTTAGTATAATGCTAATATTAAACTTTTTTTTAGTCCCCTAGCAATGAAGTCGAAGGGGACTTTGGGTTTGCACTCTGTCCATCTGTCAGTCTGACAAATCAGTTTTCCACACTTTTTTTCTTCATGCTTGAAGATATAGATTTGATATTTAATGTATTGTTTTATAATGACATCCCCAACTGTTCATGGTAAGACTTCTATGGTGTTCCATAAAATGACTTTGACTAAAAATGAACACATTATGTATGTCAATTTCATATTTTTATTTCATTGCATCCTTCCAAGAAAGGGAAAATTGACGTTTTAATTTACATCTCATTGTTTTGTTTTCTTTTTTTAGATGAATACTGAGGAAGGGATTTTGGAATTTGAGGCTACTGACATTAGCAAAGGTAAGGAAAATTAGACAATAACCAACAACAAACATGATTAACAAAGAAAATGGAAAATTATAATGATATCCTAAAGTAATACATGTATAATGGAACATAATTAGAATTAATACTAGTACTACAAAATAGAAAATGTCCTATCCATTAACATGATTAAGTTTTTTTATGCACACCAGTGTCATAAACCAGAGAAATACATCATATTTTTATCAACAAACCATATAAAAAATCTATGAAAGTGTAGAAGATACTAGAATTTTTTTTATCATATTCTAAATTAAACTTAGCTAATAGTGTGTTTGTGGTAGTCGGAGGACAGGACATATGTATATTGTGAATTAATTTATTTTAGTTAAAAAAATAGTCTCATTTTTTTTTCTAGACCTTTAGGGTTAGCATAGTCAAGATATATTTTTAATTACTTCAATTTACTTTTCAGATGATGAAATCAAAGTGGGTCAATACGTCGCTGTTGCATATGAGAGCGAATGGTTCACTGGACTTGTTGTGGAAAAGGTGGATGACACTTTTAAAATTAATTTTATGAAAAAGATATCAACCGGAAATGACTTCAAATGGCCCGCCAAGGAAGATACATCCTGTGTCAGAAAAGAATTCATTTTCGAAACTAATGTTGAAGTCAAGTCACCAAAGACTCCTATGGCAGGATTTGGCACATTAAAGAGTACAAAGAAATACAGAACAAATTTCAATCTTTCTGCAAAAAATTTTTTACTAATTGATATCATTATGTCCATACATTTTACTGACCAAGAGATTTTAAGGCTTATGGAAGTACTTATGTATAAAGATTAACTCATTATGTAAGGATTATTCCTATCTCAATATGTTATCAAGCATATATTTTTGAAATAACTTTAAATTTCGATAAAGCAAAACAAAATTTTGATATCAAACATTAAGAAAGTTAGTTGTTTTATGCGGGTAAAATTGCCCCATACACATTGTTAACAACTTCTCTGATCAATGGTGTGTATTGCTTCTGGATACATGATTAAAGAATAAACTATATCTGATAGTGATCAGCATGATGATGTTACACCTCCATAAGCCTTGAAATGTCAAGACAAGTCAAATATTACAACTTTTATTTAGAAATATACTTTAATTTGTATGTTCATGCTGTTGTTGTTCAAGTGTTACAAGGTTCATGAATTTAAGATTTTATTTTCCAATGTTCAACTCTTCCTCTTCAAGAAATGTTAAGTGCTGTAAAACCTGGAAAATTACATTGAAGTGCTGGTTAACCTTAAATATTTCATGTTAGTGCTTCACCTTGAGAACTACACTTTAGTGCTTTTTAACATTGAATATAACATGTTAGTGCTAATGTAACTGGAATAATCTGTAATGCCTTCATATCACAGAACTTGGTTCTTATGACTAAATCCATGATTTTGAATTTATTGGTATATGTATGCGTATGTTATAACTATGTCATGTGTATGTTGTATACAAATTCTAATAATGAGTGTTTTTAATGCACTAAATCATAAACAATAAATGAATAATACAAGGACTACAAGATACAGTCAAATATATATAATACATAGTATTGATCAAAAAAAAAATCTGTACACGAGAAGATTTTTTTATATATAATTTTGCATGAAACAATGTATGAAAAATTTCCAGAACATTTTAATGAAAACATTATTACGTGTACACAACACATACATACCATGCATACCATGCACATTGTGTACTTTGATTAAAATAACTGGTTACATACTACTCTTATGCATAACCAGTTATTTTTAGCTCACCTGGTCCAAAGGGCCAAGTAAGATTTTCTCATCACTTGGCGTCCGTCGTCAGTCGTCCTGCGTCCGTCGTCCGTAAACTTTTACAAAAATCTTCTCCTCTGAAACTACTGGGCCAAATTTGACCAAACTTGGCCACAATCATCATTGGGGTATCTAGTTCAAAAAATTTGTCCGGTGACCCGCCCAACCAACCAAGATGGCCGCCATGGCTAAAAATAGAACATAGGGGTAAAATGTAGATTTTGGCTTATATCTCTGAAACCAAAGCATTTAGAGCAAATCTGACAGGGGGTAAAATTGTTTATCAGGTCAAGATCTATCTGCCCTGAAATTTTCAGACCAATCAGGCAACACGTTGGGTTGCTGCCCCTGAATTGGTAATTTTAAGAAAATTTTGCAGCTTTTGGTTATTATCTTGAATATTATTATAGATAGAGATAAACTGTAAACAGCAATAATGTACAGCAAAGTAAGATCTACAAATAAGTCAACATGACCAAAATTGTCAATTGACCCCTTAAGGAGTTATTGCCCTTTATAGTCAATTTTTTACAATTTTCATAAATTTTGTAAACTTTTGTAAATTTTTACAAAATATTTTCCACTGTAACTACTGGGCCAAGTTCATTATAGATAGAGATAATTGTAAGCAGCAAGAATGTTCAGTAAAGTAAGATCTACAAACATATCACCATCACCAAAACACAATTTTGTCATGAATCCATCTGTGTCCTTTGTTTAATATGCACATAGACCAAGGTGAGCGACACAGGCTCTTTAGAGCCTCTAGTTTGTTATTATCTTAGATATCATTATAATATCTAATATCTAATACTATTAATTATGATTTTAACCTTATTTTACATGATTTCCAAAGCATCAGTAAATAAAGGTGAGCGACACAGGCTCTTGAGAGCCTCTAGTTTAAAAGTATCAGCCAAACACATGAATTTTGAAAGTAACTACACAGTTAAGACTTCACAGGAACATACCTGTCAAGTTAAGATTCTTGAAAAGAAGATCTTTAAAAATGTAGTGGACCTTATAGTTGGCCCCTTGGAGGCTGTATTGGACTTTTCATAAAGACCAAAGTATGACAACACTTGTTGAGTAAATTCTAAGGAACATTTCTGCATCAAATAATAAGGCTTAGACCAGTTTGTTTTCATTTCACTCTAACTACTTTTACCTTAGCTTGCGGTCATTTTAATATCACAAACAAAAAATCTGCAAACTTGATTTTAATTGGTTCAGCGATTTAAGAGAAAAAAAGATATTTGTAAATCAGACAACTGGGACCCAATTTTTATACGACCGCAAAAATTAAAAATTTTTTGGTCGTATATTGGTATGACGTTGGCGTCGTCGTCGTCGTCGTCGTCGTCCGGCGTCGTCCGAAGACACATTGGTTTTCGCACTCTAACTTTAGTTTAAGTGAATGGATCTCCATGAAATTTCACCATAAGGTTCAATACCACGATAGGAAGGTTGGGATTGATTTTGGGGGTTATGGTACCAACAGTTAAGGAATTAGGGGCCAAAAAGGGGCCAAAAATAAGCATTTTTGTAACTTTCAGACAATAACTTGTGTGTAAGTGTATGGATCTCTCTGACATTGTACCACAAGGTTCCATATCACAAAGGGAAGGCTGTAATTGATTTTGGGGGTAATTGCCTCAAAATTTTAGGAATTAGGGGCCAAAAAAGGGGCAAAAAACAAGCATTTTTCTAGTTTCATGACAATAACTTGTGTGTAAGTGTTTGGATATTTCTGAAATTGTACTACAAGGTTCCATATCACAAAGGGAAAGCTGGAATTGAGTTTGGGGGTAATTGCCCAAAACGTTTAGGAATTGGGGGCCAAAAAGGGGCCAAAAATAAGCATTTTTCTAGTTTCCAGACAATAACTTGTGTTCAAGTGTATGGATCTCTCTGAAATTGTACTGCAAGGTACCATACCACAAAGGGAAGGCTGGGATTGAGTTTGGGGGTGATGAATCAAAAGGGGGTTCAAAAAATTTGGGGGGGGGGGATTTTTTTTTTTTTTTTTTTCTTTTTTTCCTTTTTTTTTTCTTTTAAAATTTTCCATTTTTAGTTGGTTATTTCTGATTTATATTTAAAAGCAAATAATAATGATATGGTAGGAGATACACACCAAACAGGATGTGTAAATTATTATATAATAAGTATTGTGCAATAGCAAGAAATTTTCAATTGCACAGTATTGCACAATAGCAAGAAATCTTCAATTGCACAGTATGGCGCAATAGCAAGAAATCTTCAATTTAACAGTATTGCGCAATAGCAAGAAATATCCAATAGCACAATATTGCGCAATAGCAAGAAATTGTCAATTGTACAGTATTGCGCAATAGCAAGAAATATTCAATTGCACAGTATTGTGCAAAAGAAGATACTTCGTATAAATTGCTTATTTCTTGATCAATTTCAATGGGGTTTTATTCTTGAATTCTTGGGGTTCTTTAATATGCTGAATCTAACCGTGTATTAAGTTTTTGGATTTTGGGCCCCGTTTTTAAATTGGTCCACATTGAGGTCCAAAGGGTCCAAAATTAAACTTTGTTTGATTTCATCAAAAATTGAATTATTGGGGTTCTTTGATATGCCGAATCTAACCGTGTATTTAGATTTTTAATTTTGGGTCCCGTTTTTTAAATTGGTCTACATTAAGGTCCAAAGGGTCCAAAATTAAACTTAGTTTGATTTTAACAAAAATTGAATTCTTAGGGTTCTTTGATATGCTGAATCTAAACATGTGTTTAAGATTTTTGATTATGGGCCCAGTTTTCAAGTTGGTCCAAGATTGGGGTCCAAAATTAAACTTTGTTTGATTTCAACAAAAATTGAATATATGGGGTTCTTTGATATGCTGAATCTAAACATGTATTTAGATTTTAGATTTTTGGCCCAGTTTTCAAGTTGGTCCAAATTGGGGTCCAAAATTAAACTTTGTTTGATTTCAACAAAAATTGAATATATGGGGTTCTTTGATATGCTGAATCTTACCATGTATTTAGATTTTTTATTTGTGGGCCCGCTATCAAATTGGTTGATATTGAGGTCAAAAGGGTCCAAAATTAAACTTTGTTTGATTTCATCCAAAATTGAATTATTGGGGTTCTTTGATATGCCAAATCTAACTGTGTATTTAGATTTTTAATTTTGGGTCCTATTTTTTAAATTGGTCTACATTAAGGTCCAAAGGGTCCAAAATTAAACTTAGTTTGATTTTAACAAAAATTGAATTTTTGGGGTTCTTTGATATGCTGAATCTAAACATGTGTTTAGATTTTTGATTATGGGCCCAGTTTTCAAGTTGGTCCAAGTTGGGGTCCAAAATTAAACTTTGTTTGATTTCAACAAAAATTGAATATATGGGGTTCTTTGATATGCTGAATCTAAACATGTATTTAGATTTTAGATTTTTGGCCCAGTTTTCAAGTTGGTCCAAATTGGGGTCCAAAATTAAACTTTGTTTGATTTCAACAAAAATTGAATATATGGGATTCTTTGATATGCTGAATCTTACCATGTATTTAGATTTTTTATTTGTGGGCCCGCTATCAAATTGGTTCATATTGAGGTCAAAAGGGTCCAAAATTAAACTTTGTTTGATTTCATCCAAAATTGAATTATTGGGGTTCTTTGATATGCCAAATCTAACTGTGTATTTAGATTTTTAATTTTGGGTCCTATTTTTTAAATTGGTCTACATTAAGGTCCAAAGGGTCCAAAATTAAACTTAGTTTGATTTTAACAAAAATTGAATTTTTGGGGTTCTTTGATATGCTGAATCTAAACATGTGTTTAGATTTTTGATTATGGGACCAGTTTTCAAGTTGGTCCAAGTTGGGGTCCAAAATTAAACTTTGTTTGATTTCAACAAAAATTGAATATATGGGGTTCTTTGATATGCTGAATCTAAACATGTATTTAGATTTTAGATTTTTGGCCCAGTTTTCAAGTTGGTCCAAATTGGGGTCCAAAATTAAACTTTGTTTGATTTCAACAAAAATTGAATATATGGGATTCTTTGATATGCTGAATCTTACCATGTATTTAGATTTTTTATTTGTGGGCCCGCTATCAAATTGGTTCATATTGAGGTCAAAAGGGTCCAAAATTAAACTTTGTTTGATTTCATCAAAAATTGAATTATTGGGGTTCTTTGATATGCCAAATCTAACCGTGTTTTTAGATTTTTAATTTTGGGTCCCGTTTTTTAAATTTGTCTACATTAAGGTCCAAAGGGTCCAAAATTAAACTTAGTTTGATTTTAACAAAAATTGAATTCTTCGGGCACTTTGATATGCTGAATCTAAACATGTGTTTAGATTTTTGATTATGGGACCAGTTTTCAAGTTTGTCCAAGTTGGGGTCCAAAATTAAACTTTGTTTGATTTCAACAAAAATTGAATATATGGGGTTCTTTGATATGCTGAATCTAACCATGTATTTTGATTTTGGACATTGGACCATAATAGGTAAATTAAAAAAATTCAAGTTCTTAGACCACATTCTTTCTGTGTCAGAAACCTATGCTGTGTCAAATATTTAATCACAATCCAAATTCAGAGCTGTATCAAGCTTGAATGTTGTGTCCATACTTGCCCCAACTGTTCAGGGTTCGACCTCTGCGGTCGTATCAAGCTGCGCCCAGCGAAGCATTTTATTGCCTTTTGAATCCCTATCAGACTTTTCAATGGACCTGTGACAACACATGGTAAGTACCTTCTAAGAAACATTTCTGCAAGGTTTGCTTTAATTTTATGGCATCCTATCTTGAAAAAATGGAGAATGTGTCCCCATGGACACAGATGATGCCCCTGCTTGCATACAACATTATAAAGGGACATAACTCGAGAAAGATATAAGTGATGCTACCCAAATTTGTATATGATCTGAGTTTTGTGGTAATAAGTATTGTGTATAGGTTTATAATGTTTGGTTGGTGCAAACTTAAGTCACAGAATAGAAACTAAATATTTTGCAATTTTTCAATTTATAAAGGGGTATAACTCAATAATGGTTAAAGTGACGCCACTTAAAATTCAACTTGATCTGTGTTTTGTGGTAAAAAGCATTGTGTATAAGTTGTGTATCAATACCCACGCAACTTCAATTTTTAAAGACCCAAATGTTGCAAAACACTTGTCCTACCTCCATGACAAATATGTTGTTGTCCCCGCAGATAAAGCCCCAAACAACATCGTTTTTGTGTGTAAATATCATTACATAAACTGTTTGATAAATGAATTAGGTATTGACAATTCATTTGGAAACTCAACATAAACCCTCACGACACTTACGAAAGAGGAAATCCTGGATAATCATAGGTTTGTTCTATGTTCCTTTGGAATTTCAACCAAAGATGAAGAACTGGATCTTCCATCACTGTATTGGATACCTAAACTACATAAGCGTCCTTACAAACAACGGTATATTGCTGGGTCTTCCTAGTGCTCCACGAAACCTCTTTCTAAATTATTAACATCTATTTTATCAGCAATCAAAGCCGGGCTCCAAAGCTATTGTGAAACTGCCTATTCTAGAGGTGGCGTGAATCAGATGTGGATACTAAAAAATTCCAAAGATCTTTTAGAGTACATACAATCTAAGACTCTCTCATCTTGTAATAGCATTAAAACATTTGACTTTTCTACACTTTACACAAGTATTCCCCATTCCAAACTAAAAGACAAATTGAAAGAGTTGGTATTACTTTGCTTCATTAAAAAGAATGGCGAACATAGATACAAGTATCTTGTCTTGGGGAGGGATAAATCCTACTTTGTAAAGAATCACTCTGATTCAAACAAAAAATTCTGTGAAACTGACATTATCAAGATGCTTGATTTCTTGATTGACAACATATTTGTTACGTTTGGAGGATGTTTTTTTC